GCACTTATTTCTTCTCATTCTTTTGATGCGTGTAGCTCATTTTTCGTATATTGTTACCTCAATTATTGTATATGGCACCTTTAATATGTTCCTAAAGAGAAGTGGGAAAGTATTTTAAGTTGTGTTTACATTCGACAGTTGAATACCTCCTCTCAAAGGATGTTTTTATGACAGTTTATTTTTGTAACTTGCAAATTTAATTTGAGGCGGTTAAACTTAAGCTGTTATAGGTATATTTTGATACAATGTACAATTTAAGGATAAGAAGGTTCCAATGTTTCGACACTGGTTAAATACAGGTGTTCACAGTATTTATTATTTGCTGACAGGGGCTTCATATTACGTTCTGTTAAGAACTCACATTCCTATGTACTTAATCTTTTATCCCTATTTTTGTCTTTTTTTTACTTTATTTTTTCTCTGTTTTCTCTAAAATCCACTTTATCCTTTGTATCTCTTAATGCTAGGGGGTTACGAGATTCTGTAAAAAGAAAATCAATTTTATTGTTTTGTAAAAATGAAAAAGCACAGTGCTATCTTCTTCAAGAAACTCTAATAACACAGATGAGAAGTTCTGGTCAAATCAATGGGGAGACAAAATTGTTTTTAGCCATGGCACAAATAGATCAGCAGGTGTCGCCACTGTTAAATAATTTTCCTGGGAAGGTGGTGACTACCAAGAAGGATTCTTATGATCACTGGATAACTTGTGTTTTTGAAGTCGATAATCAGTTCCTGATATTGGGAAATATACTATATGGATATAATAACAATTACCGAAACAAAAATTTATTTTCTGAGATAACCGCTGCTGTTAAAAAACTAAGCCAAAGATATCAAAAAGAAAATGTCATGTTTGGAGGAGATTTTAATATGGTGATTGATGAGTGGCTTGACAGAACTCCTTCAAGATATCAAGGGCACCAATACAACCCTATTTTATTTAAGTTTTGTAATTTGTTTCAACTAAGAGATGTATGGCGCACACTTAACCCTGATAGTCAAACCTTTACTTGGTTCAAACCGGATGGTTTGGTTAAATCTAGATTAGATTTCTGGCTTCTGTCAGATACTGGATCTAACTTGGAGACCATTTCCACTATTTCCACTGCACCTTTAACAGATCACTCCTTGATTAAACATATTCTTACTCCTACAAATGCACGTCATAGAAATAAAGGGTATTGGAAGTTCAATTCGAGCCTTCTTAATTGTGAACCTTTCTACCAAGAAATTATATCAGTAATCAGTAATATTAACGAAGACTGTAATTTAACTAATTATAGGAAGAATTCTTAAAATACAAGGCACGTCAAATCTCCATATCACCAGAGCTAGTAAAAAAAGGGAAATGGAAATTGTAAAGGAAATCAACCAAATTTGTAACAAACCTTTATTAACTGTAGATGACAAACAGAAGCTAATCTTTCTGCAGTCTTCACTGGACAGCATTTACATTAATAAGGCAAAAGGAGCATATATCAGGTCAAGAGCAAAGTGGATAGAGGAGGGTGAAAGGAGCTCAGCCTATTTCTGTAGATTGGAGAGGAAGAGACAAGAACGGAATAGTATAAAAACTCTGTTAATTTATAACCAAGAATGTACAGATCCGAATAAGATCTCTAAGGAAATTTCTCAATTTTACAGTAAATTGTACTCTTCCTCCTATTCAAGTACAGCTTTTGATGCTTTTTTCGAGCTCACTAAAGAATGGATCCATGGAAAGTGGATGAGTGTTTTGAAGATGTATGTTATGCTGGAATCAGCTGGATGAAGTTGAAAATGCCTTGAAATGTTTATCCTTAGACAAATCTCCAGGTTCAGATGGTCTAACAAGTAACTTCTATAGACACTTCTGGGATCATCTTATAGACCTTTGTTTCAACATGTTAAAAGAAACTTCCGAAACTTTAACTCTACCAACTACAATGAAGCAAGGAATCATTACACTCATACCCAAACCTGGTAAAGACCCCAAGTTAATTGACAATCTTAGGCCCATAACCTTACTTAACAATGACTATAAAATCTTAACTCATATCTAAGCGAATAGATTAAAAAGTGGGTATCACTCAAATCATTTCAGACACACAATCGGGATTTATAAAAGGACGATCAATTCATAATAACATAAGACTTGTACTTGACTTGATTATAGTAACTTAATTGAAGACAATGGTTTTATCCTTTTTCTTGACTTTTTCGAAGCATTTGATACGATTGAACACCAATTTATGTTTCGTACCCTAGAACATATCTCATGACCAATTCGTATGAATTCGTACGAGTGATTCAAAAGTGGCTAATTCGTACAAATTCATACGACCTCACTCGTACGAATTTGAATGATTTGTCTAAACCCACGTGACGGTTATGTTTAGGGGTGGGGTCAGGGGTAGGTCATTTGTACGAATTCATACGAATTGGCTAATTCGTAAAATATGTACGATTTAGCAAAATCGTACTAATTCGTACGAGTGAGGTCGTACGAATTTTACGAGGTGGCTAATTCGTAACAATTCGTACGACCTCACTCGTACGAATTAGTACGATTTTGCTAATTTTGCTAATTGCTAATTCCCGTGAGATCGGGTTGAACATTTTGGTTTTGGTGCAAACTTTCAAAATATAGTGAAATTACTGTACAAAGACACTAACAGCACTGTGTTGTTACCACAAGGTGTATCTCCAAGGTTTTCTATAGACCTTTCTCACAACTTCCGTATTTGTTACCGGAAATACGCAATTGTCGTGGTAATCTTCTTCCGCTCCATTCATAACAGATAGCGCCGAAGGCAACTAGTGAGAGTTGTTGCATACCGATCTTTTTTGTTATTCCCAAAAGCAGCCATACCTGTCGTTTTCATTCCTTCCCTCGTCAGTTCCCTGTCGATGAAGTTCGACGGAAATGGATTCAGGCAATCTGGCGGGATGTTATTGAGCCTGTGATCTTCTGTACTTCTCATGTCACCATTCAATAAGCCGTCATTGTTTGTTTATTTTTTATGTTTTATGATTTGTGTATTTTGAAGTAACATTAGTTCATGTTCAACTGTATTAAGATATTTGTATCCAGCGGAATAAGCACATAAAATATACACCACAATATAAAACAAGATAAATAAGAACACACAACAGTGGGCTACATATAAATTTAAAATATTAATATATACCATTCTGAGTATTTAACAATCTGAGTGTACAAGGAATAAATTAATATTTGTATAATTTTTGTTCATCTTTGATCGTTCTATCAACAGCAGTGCAAAAAATTCAGGATAACTGTTGAATAAAACTGACAGACTTCTTTCTGGTATTCAAATCAAAATGTAGTTTATTGTAAATAATACTCCCTAAATATTAATAACTTTCCACACACTCCACCTTCTTACCTTTAATGAACGTATATTGGGAAGAATGAGCTTCAGTTCTAAAATCAATATCATATCTTTGGTCTTAGATACATCAGCTGCAGACAAGCATCACCACAGCATTTTACAAAGTCATCAACAACTGGACCATGACAAGTTTACATTTTTTCGAAGTTTTGAAGACTCTCTAATCAATTTTCTCCTCCCAGAGTAGGTTTTTCTGATGTGTTAACAGTTGACGGGAACTCCGTTTCCACAACGATTACGTATTTCCGGTTTTTGTGAAAAAGGTCTATTGACAAAGGCATTAAGGTTGCCCCATCTCCCCCCATGCTATTCATCGCTGCAGCAGAAATGCTCTCCATTCTGATTAAACACTCAGATTTCAAAAAATTAACAGTGCTAGACAATCAACTAACCATCAGCCAACTGGCTGTTGACACGACTATATTTATGAAAGACAGTAATCAAATTCCTAAGGTTCTTCATATAATTGATTTCTTCTCAAAAGCATCTGGCTTAAAATTAAATCTCAATAAATGTGAGGTTTTTCCGATTCACGATTTCACCCTTACATCAGTTCATAATATCCCGGTTAAATCAGCTGTTAGATACCTAGGGATACATATTACTAAGGATAAGAACTCGCTTGATAATCTTAAAATTTGGGATAATCTGGATAAATGCAAATTATACTTAAATTCCTGGTCTCAAAGAGATATCTCTATTATTGGCAGAATTTCTCTCACAAAAATGGAATGCATCTCCCGATTCATCTACCCGGCCTACTCCTTATCGCTTCCTAAAAATGCTATAAAAGCCATAGACCAAGCTATATTCAATTATATCTGGAATAAGAAAACCCACTATATTAAGAAAGGTACTATAGTTAAAGAATATGAAGAAGGTGGACTTAAGGCTATTGACATTGAGTGCATTAACGGTACTATTAAAATAAACTGGTTAAGATCTTTTCTTATTCATGAAAAACAATTTTGGTTTCATGTTCGCAGTAAAAAAAATTATGAAAGTAGTAGGCATTGATTTCCTTCTTCGATGTGACTTTGATCTAAAAAAAGCTCCCTGTCAACACAACTTTACTCCTCACAATAGCCCTATTTGGAATTGCAGATATGTGTTGCTTAAAAATAAATCCATATTCTTCCCTCTTTGGCTTGATAAAGGAATATGGTCTGTAATGAGGACTTTGCTTCCAAATTTAATTTTTTACACATTTATTATTATTATTATTATTTATTTATTTATTTATTTTTTACCTTACTCTCTGTCCTGTCTGTTCCTGTGTTAATCATACACTGGTTTGTACGCTCAAGTACGCTCTGTTCCATTTGCAGAAGAACTTTGCGTACTTGGTATTGAGAAACGGCTTGTGTACAAATGAAATGTACTAGAGTCTGGTTGAACCAGGCTAGCGCAAAGCAATATCGAAAACAAAATGTCAAAAGCACAGTTTCATCTAACTTTATAACCATATAATGCATAAAAAGTGAATTAACACTTAAAAACCAAATAATATTTTGTCTGTCATTCATCATTTTCTCTAGTACGGTAAAATTTCAACTGGTTCTACTGTAGGTGCATGAACCTGACAAGAACAGACACAAGATATAAGAAAGATTTATGTGCTTTTATTTATGTTACTTTTAGGTTACAAGTGGATTTGAGGACAAAGACATGTAAAGAAAATAAATAGAGAAGAAAGCAAAAAGAAGACTTTGAGATAAAAAGTAGAAATAAAGATGTTTTCTTTTGTTTCTTTTCCTCGTCCTACTCTGTCTTCCTCTTTTTTCTATTAGTGTTCAGTGTTTTTCCTCCCTACTTTTTCTGTCTCTCCAAGAAAACAAACGGGAAACATTGAGAGAGATTATGGTGCTCTATTACAGAGATGCACCATCTCTTTAAATGTATCCTTTTCCTATACATTTATGAAGGGAAACACTATGGCAGGCAGATTATTTAGATTATTTTATTGAAAATAATCACATCAGCTACATGTAACTCACATTCAGAAAGCCCAAATGCCAAAAGACCTCCAATTTATACAAGTGTTTCTGTGAGAGGACAGATGGACCATGGGGATACTGAATATGTTACAATATGGTGTTGTAATGGGGAGGTAGAGAGATGGTTGATTTTTGATGGTGGATTGAGTTACTCTTCCTCTTTCTCCTCTCCGTGTGTTATGACGTAGCAGATGTTCTTGTAGTCTACGTTTCCAGCCACATCTGGAGGGAAGGCAGCCCAAAGGTTTGTCATCTAGAAGAAGATAACCAGAAGATCTTAAATAATTTGTCAAGGGAAAAAAAGGCAGCATGTTAACAGTTAAAAAATGTTTTAATGCATTGTTACTGTAGGCAATGACTACATTGTTTTGGGTGCTTACTTGCTGGCCCAACTGAAAAAGTAACCCCTAAGTCTCTAAATATGGCTTGCGTTCTACCTGCAATGTATAGTGCTTATCACAAAACAAATTGTTTTATAATAGCTTTACAGATATTATTGATGTTAGTCTTTATAGTACCTTAATGCCTAATTGTTCACATTTAGCAAATAAGACCTGGCGATAGTATAAATGTTTGGCTAAGGAATATTTTTTTACTTGTTTAATCCCACATTTCTCCTCCACCCTTTAGCGTCAATATGAGACGCAGATATATATATATGGGCCAGAAGGCGCCTCCCAGTGGTGTAACCCTAAACCTACCCCAGAATTAAACCTACCATAACTGAACAAAGTTCTGTGCATGTTATATTGACGCTAAAGGGTGCCGTGTGTTGGATTTAGACGAAATTTCAAAAGTGTCACTATATGACGCCCTAGGTTGAGAACGCGTTGGCAAGCCATATTTGAATTCCTGCCATAGCCCAAACAGTAATTATGGTTCTTGCTTTAGCAAACGCCATTAATTAAAATCCAACTAACCTCTTCTGCGGTAAATCTGTCGCACTGGGTAGTCAGGAGTTCCTCAAGGCTATAGAAATAAAAACAAATGTTATATTCTTGAAAATGAATCTTCACCATAGTTGTAAGGGCTTAATGAGAGTTCAGCATTCTTTAGTGTAAACAACAATGAGTCAGGACACTTACAATTCCTTCTTGATGGTGCCAGTAGCCTCTGGATCCAGAACTTTGAAAGCACTCACGATAACATCCTCAGGGTCAGCACCTTAATGAAGAGTTAAATAAATGTTGCGAATACTTGATGTGAATACTTGTTGAGATAACTATATTTTATTCATTTTCATAACCATTATTTGTAAGTCAGTAGAGCATAGGGCTGGCAACTGCAAGGTCATGGGTTTGATTACTAGGATATACATGTACTGATAATATGTTTACCTTTAAAGCACTGTAAGTAACTTTGAATTAAAGTGTCTGCCAAATGCATGTAAATGTATCTGGCAGGTAAAAGTTATGTGCTGAAGTGAAAGTTACAAATATGAATTCTTAATCCCTAACAAAGAGAAAGAACAATAAATATTAATTGTGATTACAAGAATGAACTAAGTCAGAGAAAATTTAAACAACTCACCCTTTAGCTTCTCACCAAACATGGTGAGGAAGACGGTGAAATTGATGGGGCCACTGGCTTCCTTGACCATGGCTTCCAGCTCCTCATTTTTCACATTTAGCTGACCCATGGAGGCCAGCACATCTCTCAGATCGTCCTTGCTGATGATGCCATCCCTGTTCTGGTCGATGATTGTGAAGGCCTGTTTGTTTTAGAGAAGGTAAGACAGTTTATGCAAGTTCATTTAGCTTTTTAACCAAGCAGAAAACATCAGTCATGTTTATGGGGTGGGGACTGGATCTATGTAATATGCCATTGAGGATTATTAGTAACTACAAACAATAATTTTAGTGTTCCTGTGTTTTAATTAAACTTTTCAAAGGGTATGAATTTTAATTGAAGTTTCTATTAATTGCATCAAAGATACACAAGATCACAGAAGAAAGGATTGATTTTGTACTTGTGAAATACATTTCCCCTTCTGGCATCAGGTCTTGATGTCATTCTACTGAACATAGTTGAAACTGGAGATGACATCTGAGATCAAGAAGTATCTTGGCAGCTGCTGCCCACTTGTCTAAGTTGTTAAAAGGTCACAGAATGTACAACAAGACTTAGTGGATATATAAGGTGGCCATTGGTTACACTGGCCAGCAACTAATCTCCCTACCACTGCTCCTTACTACTTAAAACAGCTATTGTGTTTTGCTAATTGGTTATTGAACATAAAACTAATTCTACAGTTATTTTTCCAAAATCTTATTTCCTGCTGAGTTAGTATTTAACATAGACATTTGCAATATAAGATTTTCAAATGTCTAACATGCCCTTAATCGATGACATCATCTGATTTATTCATTTGACTGACGTTAAAACTTCTCCCTGACTTTGTTTCTGTGTTGTGTTGACAAAATGTATAACTTTGAATTGACAATATTTTAGGAAAAACATTTATGATAAAGGAATTCATGTATAATTTATCTAATTTTAGGTTTAGCAGAGATTTAAGAAAAAAAAAATAAGTCAAATTACTGAAGAATGAGCACTCTACCTCCTTGTATTCCTGGATTTGGCTCTGCTCAAACATGGAGAATACATTAGAGCTGCCGCCCTCTGCCTGCTGCCTCCTCTTGGCCTTCTTGGGTGCCTAAAGAGAAACACATATCCATGGAGTGAAAAACATACTTGAATGATCTGCTGCTCCATTTCCACAGTTACGACTTCTGTCATCGTATACATATTCTGCTAATCACCTAATGAAAAGTTATTTTTCATGTTGCAAATTCAAATGTATATTTCCAGTGATAATAGGGCTCTATATTTTAGAGGGTGTCAAGGAAGGATGTTTTGTAAAGTTGTTAAGTGCACTTAATGGCAACTCAATTATTTTATATATATTTTAAATATATATATATATAAAAAAATATATATATATTTTGTCTAAAGTCTTTCTAAAAACACTCACCATCTCTCAATTTTTTTTTCCGTTGGTCAAAAGAGGAGAAGTATACACCACACTGATGTGACTGACAGGGACGTAGTTCCTTTTGGGGTCTTATATACTGGCCTGGGTGTGCTAACTTTAGCCTCAACATCAGGTTTAGGAAAGTGAGTGCTGGTGAAAGTACAAGACAGGAGGTGTATGAAGTGCTTTGGTGTCACTTTTCATTCCTGTTCCAAAATAGGATTTGCACGCCTTGGAATGAGGTGAATTCAGTCCAGTAATTTTGGCAATAGTTTGGTTTACCTTGTGAGCAAATATGGCAAGGGTAAGGAGATTGTTGCTGCCTTAACTGAAGAGCTCCATTTTTTCTCATCTGTCTCTGTTGAGAATTAATTTGTAGATTAATGTAAGCCTTAGTATATCTTTTCTGGAAGTACGAATTTTAAAACAACCCATGCATATCATTTTTATGTATGACATACCATTGCCAGTCAATGGTCTTTTTTTTTCTTTTCTTTTTTAACAATAAGAAATCTGTCAATATTGGTTCATCTAATTAGAGACATCTATTAATACTATCATAGTAAATAAGCATTTTGGGGGATTTCAATATTTGTAAGAGCTTGTTTGGTTGCATTTCCATGTATAACTTTACTATTGAACCATATTCCCCAATTAACTAATATCCACTTATGCATTATGTTCACTTTCTTGTGTCCAGTAAAAAGGCATCCTTCCTACATATAAAAATAATGACACAACTGTTTATACCCCATTCATTCTTTAAAATAAACATTTTAGCAACATATGATAGTTTAATGTTTATGTTTTTTTCTATCTTCCATTCGTTTGTATTTCACTAAATGTAAATATGATTTTAAGATTAGAAAACAGTAAATTATCTAAAGATTTACTTATAGTAGCTAACTAACAACATATTGATTCTGGAAAATGAAAAAGGTGCTGTACTATGTACATTGGATGTGTGGTGTGTATTTTATGAATAAATGTCTGAATAGAAGGGGCTCTGTGTCGAGGAGCTTATAGACCTCCAGGATAGTCCAAAACAGCATTCTGCAGCCCTCCTTCTTCACACCATATATGCAATCCATAGCAGACATTTATCATGGGCCCAACACTGAATGCATGTATTGAAATACAAGGTTGTGGAAACTGATACTCTGTCTCTGCAGGGAACATAATATATATATAAAATAATATTTATGTATACATAATATATATAAATAAAATAAAGTTGAAGTTTATTAAAATGTAAAAATATAAATGTAAAAAATATATATATAAAATGTATGTTTTTATAAAAATTATCAACTATAAAACTTTAAGAAAATTTAACAGATTTTAGGTTGATATCTCAAAGTATTAGCTTTTAGTAAGATTTTGAGGAATTTTGATTCAGGCTTCATTGGTGACAATATAGGGACACACACACATTTCTATATATGGCTTTTTATTTCCATATTGTTATACAATTTATGAAGTAGACATACTATTCAGAAGTGGTGTGTGCTATATGGCAGTATTTGACATAAATTCAACCTTTAACAAACACATAAAAGACATAAGAGTTATAAATAATTTTTTCTTCATATTTTTTTATTTTATTTTTTATTCTCAAAAATAGAATTGTTATCTTTTGAACTCATGGCATGAAAACAAACTGATGTTTTCTTTCATGATTTTTCATCTGCATCACTATTTCACAATAAAGGTCTGAACACGTCGACTTATGACTCTGTCGTTTGTACCGAAATCAGTTCATCAATTAAATGCAGCCTTGGTGATTATATTAGATTATATTTAAATTATAGTAATGAATGTGTTTTTTTCTTTGTTCTACCATTATTCAGTATTTTGAGATTACAGCACAATATTGTCCAAAATATACACTATATTGGCAAAAGTATTGAGACTCTAATAATGGCTCGTTTCCACTGAGCGGTACGGTACAGTTCGGTATGGTACTCATTTGCGTTTCCACTGTCAAAAGTTGTGAATGGTACCAAAAAGCCAAACCGTACCGTAGCACTTTTGGGGTACCCTTCCGTTGGGGTACCTAGCAGAGTGAAAGGGTACTAAAAGGTGGAGCTAGACTCACTGCAGTATGGTGATTGGTTGACAGAGTATCCTCACTTGCACATGCTACAAGCATAAGAATTAAGCGCCACTTTTTAATATACAGTTGAAATATAATACTGTTATTGAGTCACAAAATGTAGTTTTAAGAGTTTTTCATGCGAGAATGCAGTTTTTAAAGCTCAAATCTGTGGTTTATTTATAGATTTATGATAATTTGACTGAGATCCATTCCAAGTAATCACCGGACCGGGTGCTCGGCGCTCGTTGCACACCGCCTAGCCTTTCCTCGGCTAGTCATTCTGATGTTTGCCGCTGAGTCTGACGTTAGTTGTTAAAGATAAAATTCATCTTGTAAAGACCTAACAGGCGATCTATGGTCTCGGGAATCTATAATTCGTTCCCTGGCCAATAGTTTTAGCAGAAGGCGAAGTGAATTTTCATATATTTGAGCGCTGAATTTGTATATTTGATTGAATTGTTTGCTTTATGTTATTAAAGCTTTACTGTATAGCTTTTTATACCTTTTACTTATACTTTTATAATGGCTATTATTGATAAAACTAAAATTTAACAAAAAGAGATAGTTTTGTCATTTTTTATTTTATTACAAGATCATCTGTAATGTTGTTTATTGCAACATTTGTACCAATGCAATATGCAAAACATTAGCCTACATATTGCCTAGAATATGTTTAATATTTTTTTAATTTAAACAAAAAGAGGCAGGGTTGTGTTTTATATTTAGTTTTGTTATAAATATATACCGTATAACATTATATGCAGTGAATATAATCAATAGGCTATGCATTGCCTGAACCACATTTGTGTGCTTATAGTGTTTAAAATGTATTTAAATGAAATCGAAATAAAGCGGTGTTTTATAGCATATTTCATTTTATTGTTGCCTAAAATGTACAGAGATAACCGGAGTAGCAGAGCAACCTGAGTGGCACGTTCAGGAACGCATTGTTCCATTAGCAAAATTACTGGACTTGCATCCTCTGGAGTCATTCTGGCTGAGTCGGACTTTGTGTAGGGTGCTTGTATGAGAAACGCCTAATGCCAGCGCTTGTTTCTTGTGACAAACATGCCGAGAAGCAAGAACAAGATCTGCTGTATGTCATCCATTGTTGTTTACTATCGTTTTCTTTGCGCGGAAATGACGTAGACCGCTTCTTTCTGCTAAACACCATGCCTATCATGTAAGGGTACTGTTGGCGGTGGAAACGCAAGGTTCATGGTTTACCGACCCGAACCATTCTGTACTGTACCGTACCGTACCGCTCAGTGGAAACGAGCCATAAATCATTGAATTCAGGTCAGGTTCAGGAATTGCAATCACTTCCATGGCCACAGTTGCATTAAATCAAGCACCTAGGCATTCAGACTGCTTCTACAAACATTTGTGAAATAATAAGTCGCTCTCAGGAGCTCAGTGAATTCAAGTGTGGTACCATGATAGGTTCCCACCTGTGTAGTAAGTCCATTCGTGAAAATTCCTCACTACAATTAGCTCAGGAACAGTGTGCAGAGAGCTTAATTGCCATGGCCGAGCAACTGCATCCAAGTCTTACATCACCAAGTGCAATGCAAAACATTGGATGCAGTGGTGTAAAGCACGCTGCCACTGGACTCTAGAGCAGTGGAGACATGATCTCTGTAGTGACAAATCACGCTTCTGTCTGGCAATCCGATGGATGAGTCTGGGTCTGGCAGTTGCCAGGAGAACGGTAATTGCCTGACTGCATTGAAGGGGCGGCCTACGAACTCCTGAGGGAGTCTTGAAGCTGACTTCTGCTGATGAAATGGCAAACTATGTTCAGTAAAACTTTCTTTAATTTTTATAATTCCGACTCCGGGTCTTCATTCTTCATATCTGGTTCTGGGTCCTTTAACTGTTAACCCCTAACAGTTTGGTGGAGAATGCGGGCAATTATTCTCGGTGACACCCCTGGCAAATCAACAAACAAGGTAGTAAGCTTTTGTTAATTGTTAGGGCTGTCTGACTGGAAGAGATTTTCAAGGAGATCGGGAGAGTCTTCACTCCGATTAGGCGAGTGAAGAAGTATGTTAATTATACTAAAGGTTTAAAGTATAAAAGAGAAAAAGTCGCTGATAGCATTGTTTAAAGTTAACAAGAGCAGACAGCGCAAGCGAAGCGTGCTTTGTGGGGGCCCCACTGGGCCTGGGCATTGTTGGTGTAGCAACACCCCAGCAAAGTACGTCCCTGGATTGGGTTTAAGTTCCAGGGCACCGCGAACCTACTCTATCTCTTCCATCTCAGATAGGGGTACCCCGAATTTAGTGGATCAGGCAGTTAGGGATACTAACAAACAGGGTTGTTTGCCAGGGATGCATCAGGAACGATTCCGGGGAAAAATAAATAAAAAGTTGGGACCCAAATTGGCGTGGACCAGTATATGTAACTGTGATTTTGCAGTATACTTTGCAGTTTCATCACGCAGAAGCCAAGCTGAGTTGTTCAAAGATTGCCGCCTCCATTTCTGCAATAACTTCAGGTGAGTATGAACTGTGATTAAGATATGGCAGAAAAATTGGATAACTTAATCAGTAATTTGAACAGTCCTAAAACAAATAGTGCGACAGAAGAGAGCAAACGCTGTAAACAGCTGTGCTCTGAAGCCCTCACTTTGAAGACATTTGCAGAAATTATTAAGTAAATGGTAGTCAAGATTTTGAGTCTGAGTGGAAATTTAAACGACAACTTGACTGGTTATAAAGAAACTGAAAGATGAAAATGTTTAGCCTCATATTGCTAATGATCATTACAAAAAGCAAGTAGAATAAATTCTGGGGCGGGAATAATTTCCCTAAGCAAGTGATTAAAGTTAATCTGAAACTTTGTGAAAACAACTTAGAAATAGTTTGAGCATTTCGATGCAGCTTCTGAAAATTAATGTTCTGTCAATAATAATGAAGAAGATTATGATTGGGCTATTGTGATTAAATCCGCCACCGGCGGACTGTAAAAGAATAAGAGAACTGCTTATCAGTGGCTCTGTGTGCGTTCC